GCCGACAAAAACCGATTTGAAAAACTTTAAAAGAGTACTTTTTTGACGAGGTAGGGCAAATTAATGTTTAGCTGGCATAAACGCTCAATCACTTCCTCGGCGCCATCGTCCGAATGATACTGATATGTGATTTCTGAGCCAACAAATATCGGAATCTGTGGGCAAGTTGGAAAACGTTTCTCGTAAGCCTAAATCATGCAATTTTCACAGGACTGACCAAACCTTGCCTAATACAATGCAAAATAATGCTATGAAAGACGCCAATTTTCAGGCGTTTTGCACTGTAACAATGAAGTAAAATGCATACTCTGTCGAGACAATCTGTGTATACATGTGTATTCAGATATCCGCTCGGGTTTTCAACTTAAAAGCAGAAATTTTACGAGGATGCTTCCTGCTCATGTTCGGTCCCTAAGGCATAAAATCAGTTTTCAAGCATGCCTAGTGTCCCAGGCACCGGTACATGGTTAGCATTTATTTACCTCGGAAATCAGAAAAACTAGAAAGCGGAAGTCTACAGAATATGATACTAGGCAATGTACCCATCCCCAGACATCTGGACCAATTTTCACAACCATTTTTCATAAACGTGAGCGTGAAAATTCACACTACAGGCTCTTCTGGCTCCGGAACTAGAGAGGCTTGAAAGCTGAAATTTTGCAGCTATGACCCGCGGCCAATTCTCCATTTTAAAACATATGAAGCAGCTCCCAGAACCTCTTATGCTTAATGTGTCATGTGAAATTTGAGATAGTGCATTTTTTCCAGTTCAGCAACCCGGCAAGCAAAGACCACACAAAACAGAAAGCTGCAATGTTACGGGGAAATTTTGCTGCCCATGTGCACCCAGAAACATAAAGTCAGTTAAAATTGCAAAATTTCCCACTACTTCTCATGTACGATACGGACGTGTAAAAGTTGAAATTGCAAAGTTGTTGGTACTGTTCCAACTTCACAATGAGAAAAGCTTGAAAGTTGAAATTTTGTGTGCATGATCTTCAACCATGCGCCGATTCTCAGATCTATAAACGGGCTTTCAAAAACTTAAGAAAAGAGAAATTTGAAGTTATAAAACTATTCGCATTCTTTGACCGGAAGGGCAGGCAAGCTACGAAACTGGGATTTTCTAAACTCGGCACTCATGTAAGATACACGAAAAGTGCGCAAAAAAGCATGCGCATAGCCATTATCTGGCGCACAGAGCCATTTATTCGTAACTGTGCAAATTAAGAAGCATATGTCTATGTGTGTGTGTGTGTATGTGTGTGTGTGTGTGTATGTATGTATGTATGTGTGTGTGAGTGTATGTGCGTGTGTGTATGTGCGCCCATTTAATTCAGCTCTAAAAGTTTACAAAGCAGAAAGCCGAAACATAAAATCTTGGTCTTTGGTCTTGTACAAACTTGAAGCAGACTTCATAATCAATCTGTGCCCTGAGAGATGTTATCATGTACAAACCAAAAGCGACACTAGGGAAGAGTGTGAAAGAAGCTCGAAAGGAAAATTTGTGACACACTGCCCAAAGCGGAAGGAGCACGCACTGAAGTTGACTTTTCGCTAGGCTCGGAAGCAAACTAAACCTGCTATTTATGTAATTAGTCAGGGACCAATCAACGAGCTATAACTTCAAGTCCAATTTAGATTTAAGGCATCATTCGCAGTTCACCCAAACTGATGCCTCTCGTAAACTTAAAGCACTTTGATCACTCAAAAAATTGACTAAAAGGACAGGATTAGCTGGGCGAAGAGATGCCATAAGAGGGCCTCCGCAGCTGCAGAGCAATCCTCCAAATCTGGGCCACATAGCGACTGCACGAAGCAAATACCCGGAGACGCAGGAAGACCAGGAAGGACGGCGAGGAAAGCAGGAGAAAATGAGCAGCAATGGTGCACCGGGGTAATTTTTGCAAATGCATGAAAGGAGAAACTGACCGCCATGACAATTTCAAACGGATATTTGTAGACGCGAACCGGGCTTTGATATGTTTGCACCATCTTATTACAATTAATACCAATACGACCGGTAGCACGCACCTGAAATCCGAAACGCCCTCATTTCAGTACACACAATGACCTCAAAGTGGACGATGCATCATCGATCAGGGGACGCCAGAAATCCGCATGTCCATCGCGCAGCACCAGTTTTGGCCAGCGCCACCTGTATTCCCATCACAGGCGTGACGCAGCACTAAGCTAAACAGCACTGAGAGGTAAAGATGGCTCATCACGCTGAGGGGAACAGGTGGAGGCGCAGCAGCTAATCACACACAAATGAACAACAAGCAGCATGGAAAACGCCAGAACACAGAGCAGCGCTGAAAAACAAGCAGACCGCGAGAACTTCGAGGTGTGAGCACGGAAGCAGGCGCAACGAGCCGAGCCAAGCAGAGCAAAATGCGCCAGCGCGGCCAAGAAGCCGGCGCAAACGGGCACAAAATCTTTACTCTCTAAAAATTCGACAACAAAACAACAAGTTTCGTCCTGAAAAACACAGGACCGAACAAAAAACTGACCAAACGAGGCCCAATCTACGAAAAAGGCGTCATTCTGCTAGTCCAGTTGCTCGCTAACAGAGATTTCAAAATCAAAATGCACATACACAGTGAGTGACACAACCTGATAAGGCGGAAGACTCCATGGCGGTGCCTGGAGCAAGCGGAAAAAAATGCAAGAAAATGAGCAAACAAATGCAAAATCAAGCCAGCAGGGGGGGGCACAAAATTCGGCCAAAAACAACACAGGTATTATAGAAATGCACCAGGCTTGCCGGTGCGACCATGCGTTTTTGCACTAAACTCGCAGATCGCTAATAGCAGAAATGACTCCTGCGCTGTGGGCTAATACTTGGACTCACACTGGCCGTGCTTTGGCCCCTTCCGGAGGAAGGGCGCCGGTTGGGATAAAGGTGGTGCATTATACAGCCGCACAGTCCTCCAGGTACATGATTACCAGTTTTTTGCATGAAGACTGGTCGTTTTTTCGGTAAATGTTCGCTTTTTGAAAAAGCGAAAAATGCAAGTTTTTTGAGAAAAAAAAATGCGAAATTCCAGTTCTCTAAAAAGTGGAAGTGTTCCTCGAACGATCGTTTGTCAGAAACCCAAGTATGCAAATGAAATGAATGTTCATTCACATCAGGCATGGGCAACCTTTGGCAATATGAGGGCCTGATTTACGTACTTACTGAAGCTCGCAGGTCACCTTTTAATAAAACCCAGGTAGTAACGCACCAGGCTTGCCAGTGCGTTCATGCGTTTTTGCGCTAAATTTGACACAGCCAAATTGCTAACAGCATGGTTGTTGCTCTACAGTGTAACGCATGCTGTTCATGTGCCTGTGCTTTGGTCTCTTCTTTCATGCGGGGAAAGGGACGATGCACAGACATGCTCTCGAGATTATGAGTTTTGCATTTGCAAAAGATGCAAAGACGCGTGAAAACAGATAATTTTTTATCAGTTTGTTCATTTTGTAAAAAAAAAAAAGCAATAGCGGGTTAATGTGCGCTCTGAGCTTCAACTTTTAACAAAAGATTGTTGGAATCTGGGTTTATATTGCTGATACAAAGTCTCTAAATATTTTCCATATTGTCACCTGATGGTCTCGTGTGTATTTTAGTTTAAATATTTTCATGAGAGTGCAGAGGCGTGGCGGAATACAAACCCCGTTCGTCCACTTAGGCATCACACCC